AGGCCCCCCAGGGGAAGTCCTCAGCGCAGACTCAGCCCCTCATCCTTCCCTTCCTTCTGCCTCCAGGAGGCTGCCACATTAGTTCTACAGACCCTGGGGAACATTCTAGCCTTTAAAATGCTCTGAGCTCTTTGGAATAGGCTATAGAAACTCATAAGGGTTGTAGAATACCTTACAGAGACAGCCCAGCTCTGCACCCCCCCTCTTTTGTCCCCCCAATACACACATGCCAGACCTGTCCTCTTCCCTGGCCCCTTGGGCCCCAGAACCTTGATGGGATCCAGCGTCATCTCAGAAATCAGCCCCGGCTCCAGGTAGGGAAGAGTTCAGCCACCCAGGACAGGTGCCAGGGCTGAGGAGGGCCCGGGGGCCCAGGCTAGGGTTTAGTGTGGAAGGGGAGTGATGAGCGATATGGGTTCCCAGAGGGTCCTGCCAGCAGGGCTGCCCACTGAGCTAGATCAGAGGGGAGCAGAGGACAGGAGCCTGAATCATTGAGAAGATCCTCTTTCTCCCCACCCCCCAGGGCACTGGGGTTCACCACTTAGGCCTTGAATTTGGTACACAGAACCACCACTTCCCCATCTCAACCTGCCATGGGTCAGCCCCAGCCAGGACTCCTGGGAGCAATTTCCCTGACTCCCTGAGCCACAGGGGAGAGGGGCGTCCCTGGCTGGGATTGCTGTCAGGAGGGCAGGTCCTCAGAGCTGTGCTGGAGAAGGACAGGGGGTGGGGGGGCAGGGCAGAACCCAGAGGCCATTCTGGGGGTTGGGAGCTGGGAGGGAAGGGGGGCAGGCTTCTTGGGGTTCCTGATGGCACCTGAATGGAATGAAAAGGAAAGAACTTAGGAAACGGAACTCACGTCTTACCATTTGTGCTGTTTGTTTACTTTTTATTTTGATTTTTTTGCATTTCCGCTTAGCTTGGATAATGAAACTAGACTGGTCAGTTTCATTCCAGTTTCTATAAAAATCAGTTTTCCTTCCTGGTTTTCTGACACTTGTTGTTGTGTATCAGTTCAGAGCCCTGCAGGGAGTGTTGGAAAGCAGGCACACTCCGTCCCTCCTGTTTTTCTGCAATTCAGAGCCAAAAGAAACAGTGTCACTGATACTGAATTTTGTTTTAAAAAAAGAAAACTTAGGGGGATTTGAAAATGGGGGTCCAAATCAAGGTGACTGTCCCTGTCTGGGCCAGACAGGGGCCTCTGCACGACCTCTCGCTGCTTTCTCCTCTTCTCTCCGCGTTTTTGTAGAGCACGGTTGGTGCGTGACTCCTGGGGACTGGTTCAGGGGATGATAACAGAACAAGACTCTTCCCAGCCCTGTGCACATACCAGCGGCATGCCTCCCTCCCATGGCTCACCCCCATCCCTCTGCTCCCCGCCCACCCCTCTGTGTTCAGGCAATGCCCATCCCATCCCCATCTGCCTGCTCATCCTCTCCACCTCTCCACCCCACCCCTCCTGAGGCCAGAGGCCCTGCACTCCCTCTGGTGCCTGGGCCGCCCCCTCATCCTTCATCCTCCCCCTCCCCTGGGTGAGGGCAGCACACTTGGCATTATCCCCAGGCTACCAAAAGGAGAAACTGAGGCCCGGGAGGTGGGTGGGAAGTGAGGAGGCAGAGTCCCTACCTCTCTGTCACCCAGATGCCACCCATGGGCTCTCCTGTCTGCCCCTCTCACCTTGCTCTTCTCCAGCCCTGGGCACAGGCCTTCCTGTAGCCACAGCTGATGACTTGCAGGAAGGGCTGTGAAGACTATTTCCTGCCACTCCTTCTCACCTGTCCCCTGTGCCCCTGGAACTCAGAGGGTCAATCCCTGTTTGAGTAGGAACCTACCCACTACCAGCCAGCCACCCACACTGTGTTCAGACCTCCCTCCTGGGTGACCAGCTGTCATCACCTGTACTCTGTCACCTGGTCCTGGGTACAAGGTAGAGAGAGGCTGTAGGCCCACCCCAGACCTTCTCTAGGGATGCCCCAGCCTCTGGACATGGCTCATCCTCAGCAAATAGGGCTAAGGAAAGAGCAGAAGTGTCCAGGAGCCCCTAGAAGGTGGGTCCCAGACAACCAAAGTGCCCCAAGAACAGCATGGGGTGTCAGCCCTCCCCACCCTTCACTGTGCCCACCCCCCACTGCCTGTTCTCTCCTCCAGCCAGTGGGGAGCACACGTTCCCATGGCAGGGAGAGTAGGACCACACTGCACACCTCCAGGGGGCATGTCTGCATTGGAGACCATGTCCATGCGCCACCTGGCGTTGTGCAACTCAGGGGCTATGAAAGATGTAAGGACCCTGGGTTAGTCCAGGCTGGGTGTGGGATCAGGGACACAGGGACAGGCTTAGTTATCATCAGTCTCCGGGGGCCATGGGACAGCATCCCTGACTCTTAGCAGTGAGAATAAATTTCCCCTCTGTCCCCTCCTGCCCCTGCACTCCCCCATTCTCTCTTTCACACACACACACACACACACACACAGGTTATCCCTGTCTCCAAGAGCCGGGCTTATGTTAGACACTGCACACAGTCAAATCTGTCTCTTTCTTGTTCCTTCGTTGATTCCAAAAGTCATTTTGGCAGCTTCCTGGGTCTTTCTCCCCCATCCCCATAGGTGCTGCTGCTTGAAAAATTACTCCTCCCCCTGTAGTCCCCATCCCAAGTGGACATAAGTTTCTGAGAGCTGAGGAAGAGTAGCTGAGCCTGACTGGAGCTGGTTGGGAAGCCTTAGCCTCTGCCTCCATTTCCCTGGGCTGCAATGGCGAGCACCAGGGCCAGGGACCAGGAAAGGGTGTGCGGACGAGGTGGTAGCCGCCTCCTCCAGGCCACCTGCTCAACAGGACGAGCATGCATCACGTTCTCTTGTCGTCCCCCCGCCACTTCCCCAGACACTTCGCAGCCGTCCACCCCGGCCCTTAGCCAGACACACTGCCTGCACGCTGCCCTCACAGCAAGGCCCACCTCCCACCTCCCCTGAGAGAAATGCTGTGGAGGCCCAGAAAACCTTCAGCTGCCTGGTCACCCACCACTCCCAATCTCCCAGGCCAGCAGGGGGACTGTAGGGTTTTCGTGGTGTCTGTCACAGCTAGTGGCCAGCAGGCCCTATGAGTTCAAGGACCTCTGATGGTCGGCATGCCCCAGAATGCTAAGAGGCAGACTACACTCACCTCTGAAGGAGGCTTGCCAGTCAGTGTTGAGCACGACCTGTTCCTGGGGGGCGCTGGGGATGGGCTTCCCTGACTCCCTAAAGAAGAGGCAGAGGCCACAGAGACCCATCTGCGGGTCCGGGCCTCGGGGGCCAGTCTGGCCCTGTCCGTAAGCTTCCCTCAGTATCTGGCCTTGCTGGGGGTCAGAAGAGAGTACAGGGCTGGGCCTGTCTCCCAGAAACCTGCAAGACAGGCACTCACCGGAGGGGAGAGTGGCAGCCAGAGAGCAGAAGGAAGTGTGCCTTGGGGGTGAGGACGAGGTCAGAGACATGCGAGCAAGCGGGCCGTGCTGTGCAGCTACGGAGGAGGCACTGTGGGAAAGAGCCCCCCAGAGCCAGGCAGGGATGGAGGAGTGGGCACAGGGAGGAGGCAGGCATCCCTGGCAGCTGGCGCGGCCCCAGCGTGGAGGGGGCCCTAGAGTCCCCGGGGTCCTTGTTGCCACCTGAGGCTGGGTGCCTTACACCCAGCCGCAGCAGGCCAGCTTTGGGGTGCTGGTGATTTCAGCTCCTCTCCAGCCTCACCTGTTCTCCCACTAAGCTTTTCCCACATGGATTACTCTAGGACAGCTTTCCCCAAACTATGTGCACAAGGGTTCCTCAAAAAATGACTTCTGTGGTCAAGTAGATTTGGGACATTCTGGAAAGTTCAGCTCTTTCCTCCTACAGAACTTCATAGCATTTCACAAGCCAACACGCACTGCCCCTCTAGAGGGAAGCCTAGGAATGGATTTCCCAAACTTACGGGACCACAGAACCGTCTTTGAGAGGAACGATGAGACACCTCCCCGGTCCCTGTGTCGTGGGCACACAGTCTGGGAGCAACATCCCGGAATTCTCCTTTGAGGTTTTCAGGGGCATTTCGTGGATGCAAAAACCTGCCTGGGGCCCTGGAGAGAGCCCTTCGGGAGGGTCTGGAAGGAGCAGCTCCCCAAAACTTGGTATTCCAGAAGGTTCCCAGCACCCTGCCTGCTGATGGCCTGGCGCCACGGGGCTACAGCTGTGACTTCCTGGGGCCCCAGGCAGGTGGGAAGGGAAGTCCCGAGGGCCAGAGGACAGGTAGGCAGCAAGTTCCTAACTCCCCAGCCTGCTTCCCTCAATCATCCTCCCCAACCCGCCCCCACCTCCCCACCCCCCACGGAGCCACATCTACTAGACAGATTTCGGAGCAGATTTCCGAGCCCTCCACCCAGCCCCGTCTCCAGCCCCTTCAGCAGCGAGTGTGCCCCGGCGCCCGACTTGGTTTTCTCATTCATCACTGTGCACTTTGATTTCTAACCTGAGCCTCGCGGATGATGCCAGTTTGTTCTGTGATTTTTCCCCTTTTCCTTCTCCAGATGTCCAAACGGATTCTTCGGACAGAGATGTTTGGAGAAACTGCCTTTGCGATTGTACATGCCAGATCCTAAGCAAAGTATGTTTGAAGATACAAACACGAGTCCCTGCTCCTTAGAAAGCTTCTGGGTGCAGTTCCCCCTCCCCACCCCGTGTAGGGCATAGGGCCAGGGGTGTTGGTTGTTTTGATCTTTGGCTGTTTTGTTTTGTTTCTTTTTTCTTTTCTGTATTTTGGTTTGTTAGTTCTTTTGTTTTGTTTTGTTTTGTTTCATTTTGCTTTGTTTTTCATTTTTGGCCTAATCCTTGGGTTTAAAGTGCAGGGCTGCAGGTAAGGGGCAGAGTGGCAAGGCCAATACAAATGGTAACGGTGGCAAGGAACCCAGCTGGCATCGGCAGGAGCCCGTGCCGGGGTGTTGCGCTGCCTGTGACTTGCTATCCTGGCTCTCTCTTTCCGGTTTTCTTTCTTTTGGTAGGTGTCCTGTGGGATACACCGGGGACAGGTGTCAGCAGTTCGCAATGGTCAACTTCTCCAGTATGTCTCTTTCTTCTATTTCTTTTCTTCCCTGGTGACTGACAGTCTCCCCCTGCGGGAGGGCTGGGGCCTTGCTTTGCAAGACTAGAGTGGGGTAGATGCAGAGTGTGTCCTGGGCGCCCACCAGAAGCCTGCGCAGAGGAGACCCATGTGCCCTGCCACCCCCATGCCATCCGTGGCTGTGCTGCCCGGCACAGTGACCTGGGTTCTGTCTGCAGCCAGCCAGAGCCACGCTCAGGCCCCTTCACCCCTTGTGCCGCCACCAGGCAGCCTGGCCAGAAGGGAAGCAGCTTTTTCAGACCCATCCCCTGCCTCTAAAGGCCTGTTTGAGGAGGCTGGGCTGCTGTTGGGCAGGGCAGGGTGCGCACATGTGTGCTGGTGCGTTTGAGAGACAGAAACAAGTTCTCGGAAAGCCTGTCTTCAAAGCTGGCCAGAGTTTGTTTTGTTTTAGTTCGGGGCGAGGAGGGACGGTGGTAAAGGGGGCGGGAGAGGGAACAGGCCCCAGGGCAGTGTTTTCCATGGAGGCCAGAGACTGGAGACATTTATGTGGCTACAGGATGGGTACCGTGGGGGTTTGCTGCAGACGCTAGAAGACAGAGGGAATGAGGAATCAGGGCTGATTGGTGACTCTCTCCAGGCCCTTTCTGGTCTGAGTCTCCAAACAGGACTTCATTCCCTTCCTATCACTTCTGAGGTTGGCGATTTCTGGTTTGCATAGTTTGCTGAAAAAATGTGAGGCCTGCCGGTCAACTGACGAGGCTGCAACGGTTTTACTCGGGGCTGGGAGCAGTTCCTCCAAGTGCCACCAGGTGGAGGTGGAGCAGAGCAAAAAGCCACAGGCCGGCCACGGGCTCCCTTCGGCGCCCAGTGCTCTGTTGGCCTGCCGGGCAGGACCCTGCCACCCAGCCTCCAGAGCACACCAGCCCTGGCTGGGCCCCAGCCCACCTCCTGCTCTCCGGGGAGGACAGCTGGCTCCCACGAAGAGCCAGGACCAGAGTGAGGTGCCTGGGCATGGAGTGGGGCACTCCAGGAGAGGCCGAGTGCAGAGCCCAGGGGCCGTGAGACAGACCCAGAGAAGAGGGCTTTGGGGTTTGGGTCTCAGGGTAGAGAAATGAGTCTTAACAATCTTCCTCAGGCCACAGTACCAAAGCCCAGAAATCACCGTCCCCTCCTCCTTGGCAAGAGCCTGGAGGCCAAGACTTAGAAAGGGAAGTAGAGGCCCCAGGGAGGTGGGGGCCGGTCAACCCAGATGGCCAGAGTGTGGGAAGCAGCAGTCTCCCCAGGCCCCTCTGGTTGGAGGCCAGGGAGGAAAGCTGTGGGGATAAGAGCAGAGCCCGTGGGCCCAGGCTCCAGGAAGAGCGGAGTCAGGTCCAGCCCCAGTGGAAGACCTTAAGTTAGAGGGGCCTCAGGGGGGAGCAGGCAGCCAGGCAGAGGCTGAGGACCAGGGCAGAGAGGCAATGGAGGGCCTTTTCCTTCTCACCCTCGGGCCCATAGCCTCCCAGCTTGTGAGACTGTTCTGTACAGGGAGTCCCAGCCCTGTCCCTGTCCCAAGTCAGAGCAGCAGAGCCTCCGCAACTCAGCCACTGTCCAAGCCTCTCTGCCAGCCAGGCGGCTTCAGCTTTCAGCTCAGAACTGCTGGGAGGGTCAGCAGGACCCTGGGAGCCCAGAAAAGAACCTGGAAAGGCAGCCCCAGGCCTTCCTGCCTAGTGTTATCAGGATCATTGCTGTGTTACCTTTTCGTAAATGATTTCACTATTCAAGTACTTTGCCCAAAGCACCTCATGCATGGCTTGATCAGATAATTACTGAAAAGGTAGTAAAACATGCTAGCCTAAGTGTTCAGGCGTCCAACAGACCTGCATAAAAATGCCAGCTGCTGAGTTTACTAGTTCTAGGGCCTTGTTTATTCTATTTGTTTTCTCATCTGTAAAATGGGAATGGTAACATTTATGCCTCTAGGGTTGTTGTAAGGATGAGGTGATGCATATTGGCAGAGAGACTGCTATTGCTGCTGGGTTCAGTTGAGCGCCTCTTCCTGCTACAGTAGGGGAGAGGTTATGGGACTGAGGGTCGGAGGGCTAGCACCAGTCCCCTGAAGGCTGCCTCTCAGCACAGCCTGAGCAATGTCTGACCTTCACCTCTGCCCAGACAGCCTCCAGACCCAGTTCCCTTCTGCAGAAGCCATGGAAACAGAGCCTGTGGCCACAACAGCACTCTGAAGCTTCTCCTTCTTCCACTGGCCACCCCTCCCCATCCCTACAGCCAAACTTGTGCAGCTCTATTCCCGCAGGGAAAAGAGCACACATAGCTGCAGACATACACACACACACACAAGCCCATACTCACATTCACAGATGTGCAGACACACACACATGCTCATAAGGGCTCAATCACATGAGCACATGCTCTGAGGCCCACATCACGGCCTCCTTGTCCAGGTCCCTGTGACTGTGTGTTCAGTCTGAAGACTGCATATGGTCTGGTAAGCCTGGCGCTGTTGGAAGTCCAGCATCAGGTTGCCTAGTTACCAGTCAACATGAAAATTTCTGCCCAATTGGCCCTGTCTGTGGCTCAGTGGTGCCACTCCATCCTGGCTGAGTGGCAGCCAGTAAACTTGATGAATGGGTGGCTGTCCTCTTTGCTGGGGCACACATGCTGCAGACCCCTCAGGATCCCTTCCCAGTGAGAGGGAGGCAGGGCCACCTTCCTAGAGACTAGCCACGCCTTCGGTGACATTGCCAGCTACCGATGGTCCATCTAAAACAGCAGCGGCCTTTGACTCCAAGGGGAGGCCAGTCAGAAGGCTCAGAGGCTGCTGCTGCTCTTAGACAGGTCTCAGAGGGATGATGCAGAAGGGAGTTTTTAAATGGCTTGGGAACCAAGAAGACCACTGTCCTCAAGAGTAGCCAGTCTTGCCTACCCAGAGACTCAATGGGCAGGAATAGCCATGGCTTTGTTCCAGAAAACCAGAGAACTGGCCTCTAGTCTCCCTTCTGCCTCCTAATTTGCTGTGTGATTTTAGGAAAGTGTCCTAGCACCACTGGACCCTAGCTGTCTCATCTAATACAACAGCAATCAAAAGTGGGGTTCCGACTAGCTCTATGAACCACAGACCTCTTAGTGTGCCAGGTGCTGTGGTCAGGCTAGACTGTTATCTCTCACAGGAGTATGGGTGGATGTCCGCCCCATGTGAGCTCTCAAGCTGCCGGCAGGGTTCCCAGGACCACAGTATGAACTAGTCCTTCGAGTTTGGGCTTGTCAAGTTTGTACTGTCTGCTTAGCACAGCTAGCCAGCCCTGGGAGGCCGGGGGGAGGCATGGGCCATTATGCTTATGGTGACTCCTAACGCCAAGCAGTAAGAGGAAGACCGCAGAGAAACCACATTTAAGACCACTCCCAACCTCACATTCAACAGGACTGCACAGAAGGACTCGTGTTTGAAAGGGCTGGGGTTCATGCTTTGAGGGCATTGTCTCTGCATGGAACTGGGGGTCAGGGCCCTGGGTGCTTCCTCAATCCTCTTTAAGTCAGAGCCGTATCTTGGTCCCCTGGCTGAGAGCCACTCTGGCCTCTCCCAATTGCAGAACCTTCTGGAATCCCTATCAGGAAGCAGGAGAGCCAGGGATGGACAGTGCACAGGACCTCCTGCTGGCTCCCACACACACTCATTCCTCCGAGGAGAACACAGTTTCACCTCCTGTCTGTGCCTAGCAGAGCTCCCTGTGCATGTTGGGAGGCTGTACAGCAGGCCCTGCACATGCACTGAGCCTCATGTGAGCCAGGTCTCGCCATGGACAGACATTTTTGACAGATGAAGAAACAGCCTCTCACCTGCCCACATGCACACAGCAAATTAGGGACAAAACTGAGGCTCAAGGCCTGCAGACAGGTACTGGCTGCTACTTTAGAATGGTAGGTGAGTTCTTCAAAAACACTGCTGAGACTTCTAGGCTCCCACCCTAGAGCCTGCTCCATTGATCTGGATGATTCTGAAGCAGTCAGGTGGCAGAGTGCCCAGAGATCCCATGGCCAGGCCTGATCCCCACTGATCCCCACTGAACAGATAAGAGGCCGACAGCTGACAGGCTGGGCACGCTTGGGGGCACACAGGGGGTCAGTGTCAGACCCCCTGGGGCCAGGCCCTTTCACCTGACCCTTACTTGGCATGGGCATCTACTTCACAGGGCTCTGAAATCACATGTGTACCTCCCATTTCAGAGAGTAGCTGGCCCACCATTTAAGGGACACAGGTGTCCCACAAGGGAACCCACTTGTCTCAGATTTCTGAGTTGCACTTTGCTTTTTCTAAGTAGTGAAAACAGCTCAGACGCTGAGTCCTAGCCCCTGTCGGCTTCTAGGGTGTTGGGGCATCAAGTACAGAAGTGGCCAACCCCCTGGAGCCTCCTCTTCTCCCCACTCCTGTCCCACCACGGCCCCTGAGTCTCCGTGCCCAGGCTCCTACTGGACGAGCAAGCCAGCCAGGCTCAAGGGACCAGTCTGGGTGCCCCATGGATGAGCTCAGGGCTGAGCAAGCTGTCTACAGGGGGGCTCCCGAGTGCTGCCCACCTGGCTGTGGGGCTGGGCATGGGAGAATGGGCCCTCCTTGGGCCCCCGCACCCACTTACCTTTCCTCCCTGGGGACATTCGCCAACTGACTCTTGCGCCTCTGCCTCCCCACCAGGTACTAACCCCACAGCTCATCTCTAAAGAACCTGCCCTGCCTGCTGAGCCTAACATTTCCTCTCTCCACCCCACTCGGGGCTCTTGGGGGTGGGGTGCCAGGGAAGGGGCTCAGGAGGCTGGGAGGGGACACCACTAACCTGCTTTCACCTCACAGGCTGGCTGCTGGTGTCTGAAGAGTCCTGACCAACGTTTCTCTCTCTCTCTCCCCTGCCCCCCCATCTCTCTCTGTCCGTATCTCTCCCTCCACTCCCTCCCCTCTCTGGCCCGCCTCTCTTCTGCACTGCCAGAGCACCTTGGATTTGAACTAAAGGGTACGGAGCCTCTGTGTGTGAGTCGGTGCCATCCACACAGCCCCTCTCTGCAGCCTCTGACACCATGTGTGCTGGATGTTTTGTTTTCTTTCCAAAAAAATGGAAAAGGGATGATGCCAAAATCTCCCCTGGCCCCATCAAGAGATCCTGTCATAAACTACATTGATGAGGGGGAGATGAGAGGCGCTCTTGAACAACAGAGTGTCCTGGGGTTCAAACGGTGCCCCCAGTGTCCAGTAGTGTCCCTTTGCCTGGGCCCAATCGCAGGAAGCCTCTAAGGGGAGGGGCTTCCTGAGCTGTGCGCATCCCAGTGGATGGGCCAGACAAGGGACAGGCCCTTCGGTGAGCCAGTATCTAGAAGCCACAGATTCTGGTTTGGAGAGTTGTGCAGAGAGGCATCCCTTCCAATTTGACTTCTACCTTCCTTCCTTTTCCCATTTCCATTGCTTTTCATTCTGCACCAGGCTGGTGGCCCATTTGTCTCTACCCTTGCTCTGTGTCTATCTGCCAGGCTTTGCCATCTGCTTGAGGCTGTCACTCCCTCCATGATCTGTCCCCATGACAGCACGCATTTTCTTCTGCGGGCAAAACATGCAAGGGTCCAGGGTGGGCTGGCCTCTGGTACCTGCCCTCCTGCCCCCAAGTTCAGAACCTCCCTCCCACTGCCGCCCTTCGGCCCCAGGAATATGCCTTCGGCAAAAAGGGACTTTGAGGGGTCAGTCTGTCTAGCTTTCTGGCTTTGTGCTGGGAGGCTGTACCCTGGCCTTAGGTCTACAGATGTGTTACAGCGAGATTGATATGTTACAGCAAGAGTGATGCAGGGGCTCAGAGGGGTCAAGGCATTGGTGGGGTCAGACCTCATAGTGCAGAGCCTGCAGTTATAGGAAGGCTGTGCTCATTGGCAGGTCTGGGGAGATCCCCATCCCCTAGCTCATGTTGGCTGCTCTCAGAAGACGGAGCTAACAGTCTGTGTGGAGGCACATGCCTGTCTATCTGCTGATGGCGACAGGGTGGGCAGCAGAGGGGCTGAGTTTGTGTGGAGCCTGTGCAGTGGTGACACGGTGCTCAGGGGTGAATCTGCATTGTTATGGGGGCGAAAATGTTTACACCTTGTTTGGTCTCAGTGCAGAAAGTGCATGCACGGGGCTGGGGAGGGCATTTGTATCAGGGCCCAGTGTTGTGCAGGTGGAGCTGTGTGGGTGTGAAGGTGATAACGCATGTGCTGATGTGCATCTGTGTCTGTAGTGATGGTGTGTGTATTCGTTCACTCACCAACTCAACATATCCTGAGCCCCAGGATGCACCAAACCCTGGTGGTGGGGTACAGAGAACCCCTTCCCTCTGGGACAGACAGACAAACAGGAGAGGGGTCAGGCAGTGGCAAGTATGTACAGAAAAATGGAAGAAGGCAGTGGGATAGTGCCCCGCCAAGGTGGGAGCTTCTTCAGCCCAGTGGCCAGGGAAGGCTTGTCCAATGAGGTGCCGTTTGGCTCAAAGCTGATGAAAGTAGCCAGCCCTGCAGTCACCCAGGGGGTGGGGGGAGCTGGAGGCGGGGCTCAGCCAGTCGCCGGTGGTGTGGCTGGATGTGCAATGGACAGAAAGACTGCCAGCGACTCTGGAGCACAGGCGACATGAGGGAGGGGACCCAGATGAGAAATTCAAGGAAAGCTGGGACCAGGTAACCAGGGGCCTTGTGGGCTGTGGTAAGGCTTTGGGCTGTATTGGAGTTGCAGGGGGAATCCACTGTGAGTTTTTAAGCAGAGAGGTAATATGATCTGCTTTATGGCTAGAAATCAAGTGGCCTTTGGGCAGAGAATAGACTGGGTTGGGGACAGGATGGGACATTGTGCAGAAAAAGCAGCAGACGGTGAGCAGCTGTCCAGGTGGGACAGCATCAGCTGCAAGCAGTAGAAACGGCAAGAAGTGGTCAGATCCAGGGTCTCCTTGGGAGCTAAGAGGACTTGCTGATGGCCCGGGTAGCGTTATAGACACAGGGAATGATTCCAAGCCTCGGGGCCTGAGCAACAGGCAAGGTGCTGAAGAGATGGGAAAAGCAGAGAGCAGGTCTGGAAAGAAGGTGGGGCGTCGGCGCTTCTGTTAGAACACAGCCCTTGGCTGTCGGAGTCTGGAGCTCAGGGACCAGCCACCACAGGGCACAGGAGCTTGACAGCAGCACACAGATGGCATTTAAGGTCTGAGTCTGGGTGTGATCACGAGAGGAGAGAGGGCAGGTGGAGAAAAGAGAGAAGCCAGGGAGCTCTGGGCCCTTCTGCCTCGGTGGAGGAGCAGCAGCTGGGAGAGAGAGACCAGCCAGTGAAGGAAGAGGAGCCCAGGAGAAAGGAGCCATCAGGGGGCATGGGCCTGGCACCCTGCTAAAGGGGTGTCAGCTGAGAGCAAAACAAATGGCCACAGGACTTAGCAGCAGGTAGCTGTTGGTGACCATGGCCAGAGTGGTTTCAGAGGAGTGACAGCGACAGATGCCTGACTAGAGGGGACCGAGGGGTGTGGGGATGTGAACCAGCAGCAGGGTGCAGAGGTCAGGGTCTGGGATGCGGGGCTCTTTAAGACTCCTCAGGATCAAGGACGTGGGTCTACAAAGACGCGAGAACCCAGATGGCACCATAGAGCCATGAATGCCCAGCTAGGGCATGTGGGTTTATCTCTGCACGATCTTTAAAACTCTGCATGATTGTGTGTGCACGTCTGCGTGTGCTTTGCTGGACATGTGTGTGAGTGTATCTGTGAAAGTGTCTGTGTATCCGATAGGCATAGTTCTAAAGGTTGTGTGTCTAGAAGGTCTGCAGCCCTGGGGGTTTGCTGGTGAGTTGCTCCTTTCCCACAGCGGCTTCTGCAAGTCCAAGGGCTTAGGGACATTTCCCAGGGCTCCACCAAGGTATTGGGGTCCAGCTGCCACTTATCCCCGTGCTGGCGGCAGGGAGCCGTTCTGAGGGGCCAGCCAGATGTCCGGGCTATAGGCCTTGACAGTGGCTGGGGCTGTCACCTTTTTCCTTTCCTTCTTCCTGGCTTCCTCTGCTCTAGAAGAGTACAGGTTGCCCCACCAAGAAGTGGGAGGTAGGGGGGGTGCTCTTTGAGGGCTGCTCCTTGAGCACAGGAATTGTCCCAGATGCCAGGGGTCTGTGCTGCCACTCGTGGGCTTCTCACAGCCAAGACAAGGAAGGCTGGAGTGGGCCAGGGCCACAACCATGCCAGGGGCCTGGCCCACTCTGTCCCTGCTCCTGGCCCTGGCATCCCTCTAAAGTCCAGCCTCTGGGTCTGATGTCCTGTTACCCGCCTGGAACAAGCCACTCTCCACCGTCTTAGAGTGGCTGAAGTGGCAAGGCAGGCCCTGCCCAGGGTCCCATGTTCCCCACCATGGACAACAGCTCCCCCAGCCCATCAAGGCTCTTTACAGCCACCAGGCCATAGTTGGGCAGGGCAGCATGCTGGCCAGGCTGGGCTGCCCTCCCCCTATGGCCTTAGGAACTTCACCTCCATCCCACCCTCTCTCCCAGCCCCCTGCATCTTCCACTCACACACGCTCTGGGCAGGGCTTGGGGTTTGGGAAGGTAAACTCGGGGGTACTCTGTGACCAGATCCACAGGTGGGTGGAGGTCGGGGTAGCAGAACACCCAGGAGGGAGACCGTGGCTGGGGAGGGAGGTAATGGAAGGGAGCCTGAGGCTTTGGGGGCAGGGGTGGGGAGGGTCCATGCACCACTGTCCCCACGGGTCTGCCCTGCCCTGCCGCCTCACACGCTCTGCCTCTGCAGAAGCCGAGGAGCTGTACCAGAAGAGAGTCCTGACTATCACCGGCATCTGCGTGGCTCTACTGGTCGTGGGCATTGTCTGCGTGGTCGCCTACTGCAAGACCAAGTAAGTGCCAGGCACTTGGGCTGGGGGCAGGCCCACCACTGCTTTTGTGAGGACAGGCTTTCCTCCCCACCTGCCATGCCTGGCCTGGCCCCCGCGACACCCTCCTGGGCCCAGCTGCCTCCTCAGAGGCTCTGCAGCCACAGGGCTGGGCCGAGCAAGTGGAGCAGAGCAGGGAAGACGGGCTAGGGGCTGAACAAGAATGGGCACTGGAAGAAGACAGATCTGAGTTCAAATCCAGCTCTGCCACTTCCCATGTGACTGAGCAAACTGATGAACCCCTCTGGTCCTCATCTGTAAAATGGGAATAATCCTCATTTGTACCCCAGGACGCTTTGTGGGAGCGTCTCCCGTTGGGTGGGCAGGCCCTGGAGTGGCACTGGGGGTGGGGAAGTGCAGAGAGGAAGGCCACATCCCCAAGGGCAAAGAGACCCCGGCAGCGTTGCCTGCTCCCACCAGGAAGTGATCCAGGCAGAGACACGGAGAAGGCTGGGTCGAAACACCTCTGGGCACAGGAAAGGTGGGGGCAGAACCTCAGGTCAAGGGGAAAAAAGGGGCAGAAACAGACAGTTCCAGTAGACTGGTACAAGCTGAAAGACAGTCCTGGGGGAGGGACAGCTGTGTTCCCAGAGCATGAGCAGCCAGACTAGCTGGAACAAATGGCTGGGGTCAAGAGAAAAAGGGGCATGGGTCTACAAAGACAGCTGAGACCCAGATGGCACCATAGGGCCATGAATGCCCAGCTAGGAAGGACAGGTTTATCCTGAAGATGACAGGGATCCAACGAAGGCTGTAGAGTGATATAGTGCAGAAAAATGATAAGTTTATCACATTCATTCTTATCTGGAAAGCAAGGGTCTAGACATGACCACCATTTGTAGGACTGGGCCCATGGGTCTTGATTCCTGCTGCCCCTATCTATGGGATATAAGGCCCTGCCAGCCTTAGGAGTTGGGGCTCAGGGATCCTAGACGAAGAGACTGGGCCCAAGTAGTAAAACCAAGGCCAAGAATTGGGGGGAAGCAAGGCCCCTGTCATTACTACCACTACATTCAATTATTTCTTCAATAAACTTCCACTGAGTGCCTGTCAGACACCAGGCCCTGCACCAGGCACATGGCCAGTGCTCTAAGCAAGAGGTTCGGTGTCATGGGATACATTTCAGGGGTACCTAACCTCAGTTGGAAGGCTCCTTGACCTCAGGAGCATTTGGCTGGGCCTGAGAAGTGAGCAAGAGTTAGCAGATGAAGTGGCAGAGAATGTGTTTTAGTTGGCTACAATAGTATGTGCAAAGGCCCTGAGGCCAGAGAGGGTGGGCACAATGGAGGATCAGAAATAAACCTTCCAAGGATGCAGCAAGCTGGGAAGGGGACAGGACAGTGAGAGACAGGGCTGGGGAGAGAAACAGGATGCTGAGAGCCAGTGAAGGGTTTTAAACAGGGAAGTGACATGCTTAGACTTATTGATTATAAAACAAATATATTGAGCACTCAATATGTGCCAAAATAAAGTCAGCCCACAGGCCTATGACCCCCTGACCACAGCGCCCTGTTTTATTCTCTTCATAGCACTTTGCTGAAAGTATCTTGTGCATTTATTTGGGCAGGGACCTGATCTGTCTCCTTCTCTGCTCCCAAACAGCGTCAGGCACATAGTACAAATCCAAGGAATGCCAAATGAATGAATGAGTGAGTGAGTGGGCCAGCACCATGCTTGAACAGTTTCTCTGCTCTTAATCCTCAGTAGTCTTTGGGATGGGTAAATGATCTCCCCACTTTACAGATGAGGAAAGTGAAACATGGAGTGTCTAAGTAACTCGCCCAGGATCACGTAGTTTGAAGGGTGGCGCCCTGCTCTCTGGCTCCGTCCTGCTGGATTCAGGCTGGTGTGCTGAGGCGGCGGGAGGGGCGCTGGCCGAGGGCAGCCTGAGCACGGCAAAGGGCAGTAGCAGGCGCCGCCGCAGCCACCCTGGACAGAGCCAGAGTCGGTCCCCTGGAGGGGCAGCTGAGGGAGTTCATACATTGGGCACAAAGGGCACCAGGCTAACACACCCTTCTCCTGTGCAGGAAACAAAGGAAGCAGATGCATAACCACCTCCGGCCGAACATGTGCCCAGCCCACCAGAACCGGAGCTTGGCCAACGGGCCCAGCCACCCCCGGCTAGACCCCGAGGAGATCCAGATGGCAGATGTGAGTGGTGGTCCCAGGGCCCCTCTGAGCCCTCGCTGGACAGCTGGCTTGCTCCAACCCCAACCAGGACGGGCCAGCGCGGCAGCCTGCCGTCCCATGCTCAGCCTTCCCTCGAGCACCAGGATGACTGGCCTCCCTTTGCCCACTTCCTTAAGGAAGGGTGGGAGGGTTGATTGCTGGAGACATTGCTGCCCCAGTAGCAAGTCACTTACCCAGGGGACCACCCCGCCCCAACCTGGAGCATAGAGCTTCACTTCCCCATTCCCAGCCAGAAGGAGGGCCAACTTGGTCATGCATCACTAACTCCTGCCCAACTCTGTCTGTTCCAGTACATCTCCAAGAATGTGCCAGCCACAGACCACGTCATCCGGAGGGAAACTGAGACCACCTTCTCTGGGAGCCACTCCTGTTCTCCTTCTCACCACTGCTCCACAGCCACGCCCACCTCCAGCCACAGGTGGGCGCCACCAAGGGCCACAACAGACTCACAGCCTCTTCTCCTCATCCCCACAGCGGGTGTGCAGCACACCCGACTCACCTACCTGGGGACACACACAGAAACTCCCCAGCCTGGCAGAGTTCTGTACTGAGGGTCCCCCTGAACAAGAGGCTGGAGGTGGTGGGCTTCAAACCAGAGTCCACCCCAAAACATTCATCCACATCCGGCGGGGACCAGACTTCCTTTTCCAGTGTAAACAAGCCCCAGAGGAACAACAGCAGTGCTGAGCTCCCCACTAATGTTCTGTTTTGTTTGGGCCTCATTGGCACCACTTTATGTGGCATCATGTGCGTACTCACCCAAACACCCTGAGCTATCTGATGCTCTTCGATGAGTTTGCCCACATGAACTTACTCCACCCTGGCTTCCTCCTCTCCAGGGGTGGGAAGCTCTGTCCACACAAACATAAAGGCTCATACAGCTCAAGAAAAAATGTGATTGGACCCTTTCATCCCCAGGCGGCAGTGTGGAGTAGGCAAGGTCCCCTTGCATGTTTGGCCACTGGGGCTGGGCTTCTGAGAGAGGTGGCTAAGGACCGTGGGGGCAGAAGGGTCCCAGACCAGACAGGGGCCCCAGGCAAGTGCTCAGGAGAGGTTGGTTGCAGAGAGGAAAGGAAGAGGCCCGTGCATGTTGTAACTCACCCACCCACAGGACCCCATCTCTCCTTCCGTCTGTACTGGGGTTGGCATCTGTGACACTGTGCGTCAGCCCAGAGTGGGGAAGGGCACTGAGGAGGGAACCTGAGATGGAATGATGGACCAGGAGAGGGTGGGCTGGGACCATTCCTCCTGGGCTGCCCAGCCCATCCTGACCCCTCACCTCACTCTCACCTGGTTTCTCCAGGCATGAAAGCCACACGTGGAGCCTGGAACGTTCTGAGAGCCTGACCTCTGACTCGCAGTCGGGCATCATGCTGTCATCAGTGGGCACCAGCAAGTGCAACAGCCCTGCGTGTGTGGAGGCCCGGGCGCGGCGGGCGGCGGCCTCCGGCCTGGACGAGAGGCGCAGGGCTGCCACACCACCCTACCATGACTCCATAGACTCCCTGCGGGACTCCCCACACAGCGAGAGGTCAGATCCTACCCTGTGACCTGAGTCCCACCTTGGCCAGACAGCTGGCACCACTGACCCAGGGCTGACTCTTAGGAACCTGAGATCAAGATCAGGTGCTCCAAAGAGCCTCATCCCTATTTTTCAGATGGGCAAACAAGGCCCCTGAAAGGTTGCATGATCTGCTCAGGGTCATCAGCATGTTAATGACAGACTGCAACTATAGTCAGTGGGCCATGGTGTAGAGTGACCATCTAATTTAATTGTCCAACTAGGACTCTTTTCAGATTAGAAGGGAATGTTAGTAACTGCACTGGGCAAACGGGCTGTCCAGGACAAACCAGAACACATGGTGGCTCTACCCTGCTGTTACTCAGGGTTATTCCTGTGTTCCAACAGGAATAGAAAGATACAAAGAGAAGCAGATTGGAGATGTAGGGGAAGTTGTCTATGAGGAGAGTGACCAGTGCAGGATGGGCATGAGCCAAGAATGACCACAGGCCCTGGCAGTATCAGGAACAACGCCCCATGGATCAAGATGCCCTTGGGTTCCCGATCAACAGATGCAGTGAGAACCAGGATGCAGTGGCCCTGGCAAGTGGGGTCTATGGGAGGAGACAGAGGAAGATGCAGTCCCTGGAACTCCAGGCTGGAATGGAGGGAGAGGAGCAGATGTTGTGCCCAACTCAGCCTACTCCCTGCTTGGCCCCATGCAGCGCAGGACTGCCTGGGCATCCAGAGATGGTCCACCTGATTCTCGCTTCTGAGGAGGTCCTGGTCACACACACAAACTGATGAAACTCACAGCTGCCTACGGAAAGTGCTGAGCACAGAACACCCTACCAGGGCAGAGAAGGCCACACTGCCTGCGGGTTCTGGGAATCAGCCAGGTTTTCCAAGACCAACCTGTCCATATCCAGCTCCACCACCTCTGTGCCTTTGTTTCCCCAGCTATAGAATTGGGAGGATAGCTATCATGCATGTCTTGGGACGGCCACCAGAGATCATGTGTACACAGCTCTGCCTCCTACCTGGCATGGAGCTGGTGCTCACTAGGTGTAGCTATTATCAATAGCAATAGGATTCCTTAATGGTTGGAAGGAAAACAGACAGGAAAAGCATTCCAGGCAAGGAGAACATCTTGAGCTGTTCCAGCAGAGGTACTTAAGAACATGGCTGGTGAGGGAGATGCCTAGAGCAGAGTGGACTCGGGGGTAAATGCACCTGGGCCTAAATAGGCAGGCTGGGGCCAGAAAGATGGCTAATGGCCTGGGCTTCTGCTTGGGAGGTGGGCCCTGGATAGCTAAGCAGGAACAACAACCTTAAGCAGAGTTGTGACCTTAAAAGAATGAACTGCATAAAGCGACAGAGAGACCCTAAGGTGGGGGATTAACCAGAGTGCACAGCAAGGCCCAGGATGGGGTAGAGCAGGAGGGGGTGTGTTCCACGTGCTCCGGGAGAGGGGCAGTGGGTACCATCTGCTGGGTAATTGGATGTGCATGTGGGAGAGGGAAAAAAAGGGAGTCACATGACTCAGAAAGAGTAACGGGGACTCGGGGAGCAGTGACATCTGTGGCTCTACAGTTCAGAAGAGAAGCACAGAGATGGCTGGACAACGGTCAGTCAAGAGGCCGATGGTCTCAGCAAGGGAGATGTGGAAAAAGAAAGGGGGCAGATGCCTGGGACCCAGACTGGGAGAGATTAACAAGGGCAGACTTCTGAATGAACAGATGTTCTCTAGCCCCCGAGACACCTCAGTGGGGTCTTGTTGACCCTCAGCTGTGGGCTGAGGAACCTTCAGGCCACGTGAACAGTTACTTCCCTAAGGCAGCTTTTAGTTTCAATATAGGTAGGAATATTTCCCCTACTGAAGCCAGCAGTCGTGAGTTGAATTGTCCCTGCAGGGACGGTTGGTCCAGGTCACAGGGCTGGCTGAATGAGAATCAGTGGCTTCTGGACTTGGGCAGCATGAGTCCTGGTTCCTGCCCGGCCTCTGTTCAAATCCCAGCTCTACCTTTTCCTAGCTGTATGAACCTCGAATAAGTTGAGTCTCAGGCTCCTCACGTGTAGTATGGGACTAACAAAAGAGTCTTAAAGAATTACTGTATTAGATGAGATCCCACCTGTAAAAATCCCCAGCCTGCGCCTGGCCCAAAGTACCCATTCAGGAATAACAGGTCACTGTGAGCAACCCCACAGCAAAGGGCGGTCATGGAGGCTTACCGTGGATGAGGCAGGCACTGGGCTATGACATCTCATTGATACATTTACAGAATCGCCCCAATAAAGCTATGGCTATCCCCGCTTAACAGATAAGGAAACTGAGGCCCAGAAAGGAAAGGAAAATTGCTTGACGATTCCCACCATAGTTCCTGCGGGCAGAATCCCAGGCAGAACCACTCACTGCCTCCCTAGGGGTCAGCCCCAGCCCCAGTCCCCCGCCCCCGACCCTGACCCTGACCCGCCTTCTGCTTCTCCCCGCAGGTACGTGTCGGCCCTGACCACGCCCGCGCGCCTCTCTCCCGTGGACTTCCACTACTCGCTGGCCACGCAGGTGCCGACGTTCGAGATCACGTCCCCCAACTCGGCGCACGCCGTGTCGCTGCCGCCGGCCGCGCCCATCAGCTACCGCCTGGCGGAGCAGCAGCCGCTCCTACGGCACCCGGCGCCACCCGGCCCGGGCCCCGGCGCAGACATGCAGCGCAGCTACGACAGCTATTACTACCCCGCGGCGGGGCCGGGACCGCGGCGCGGGGCCTGCGCGCTGGGCGGCAGCCTGGGCAGCCTGCCCGCGAGCCCCTTCCGGATCCCCGAGGACGACGAGTACGAGACGACGCAGGAGTGCGCGCCGCCGCCCCCGCCGCGCCCGCGCGCCCGCGGCGCGTCCCGCAGGACGTCGGCGGGGCCCCGGCGCTGGCGCCGCTCGCGCCTCAACGGGCTGGCGGCGCAGCGCGCACGCGCGGCGCGGGACTCGCTATCGCTGAGCAGCGGCTCCGGGGGCGGCTCGGCTTCCGCCTCGGACGACGACGCGGACGACGCGGACGGGGCGCTGGCGGCCGAGAGCACGCCTTTCCTCGGCCTGCGCGCGGCGCACGACGCGCTGCGCTCGGACTCGCCGCCGCTGTGCCCGGCGGCCGACAGCAGGACTTACTACTCCCTGGACAGCCACAGCACGCGGGCCGGCAGCAGACACAGCCGCAGGCCGCCGCCGCGGGCCCAGCAGGACTCGGCGCCCCTCTAGGGCCCCCGCCGCCCGCCGCCCCCGCCGCCTCGCCCGCCCCACTGTCCTTAAGGAGAACGGAGACCACCGACTGGAGAGAAAGGAGGAAAAAAAGAAATAAAAATATTTTTATTTTCTATAAAAGGAAAAAGGTATAACAAAATGTTTTATTTTCATTTTAGCAAAAATTGTCTTATAATATTAGCTAACGGCAAAGACGTTTTTATAGGGAAACTATTTATATGTAACATCCTGATTTACAGCTTCGGAAAAAAAAAACAACAAAAAAAAAGAGAGATGGGCCAATTTTTTGACTCTTTAATAGAAACCTATATTGTGGTGCCTTCTGCTGTACGCTAATCTGGGGCTCCTGGAGAGAAGTCTGGGTAGCGGGGTGGGGGTGGGGGAAATGTAGGATCCTGAGCTGGAGGGGGTGAGAGGAAGCCTGGAAAGAGAGGCCCCGGGGTTCTGGGGGGTGGGGCTGCGATGAGGGATTGGCCCCGGAGGAAGGAAATCCGGACGGGAGTAGCTTTACCCCCAAGCAAGATCTTGAGCCCTGAACCCTCTGAGGAGAGGGCAGGGGATCCTAGGCTTGGAGCTGGAGTTGGGTCAGGTACCCTTCAGGGGTAGACTGTTGCCCAGCGACAGCAACCAGAATGGGGAGGAGGGCCTCCCCGCTCCTCGCAGCTGCTAAGGGAGGGAGCACTAAGAGGTCTTCCCAGCAGCCCCGGCCCCAGGGAGGGGGCCGCTCTGCCAGGGCCCCAGTGTTCGCGGCTCCGCCTCCCCCATGGCCGCCAGGATGCCCCTCCGTCCTCTGCAGCACCTTCGTTTACAGGTCGTCTTTTCTATTTTACGCCTGCATGTCCTTTGCATTTCAGATTCTTTAGATTGGATGCATGGTCACGCTGGGACCGAGAAGAACCACTCCACAGTGTATTTGATTCCCCTTTTAGCAATAAAAAACACCATTTCGTTCTCACAGTTCCAACTCCAAGGCCCCAGCCCATCTATAACTTTCACGCCCTCTGCAGCCCTGTCCTCCCCAGCCCCAAAAACTGGGTCCACTGCTAATTTGTCAAAAAGGTGATTGTTTAAAAGAAATCACAAACAAATGGGTACCCTGCCCTGAAATGTCCAAACACCTGACTGTTGACACTTGAACATTTTTATATTATAAATAAAATCAGAAATAATGCATGTTTGACTGTGTGTGCCTAGTCCCCAGATCAGGAGGGAAGAGAGAGAATGAGGACCTGGGGTGGTGATGGATGGATGTCGGTGTGGAGGTTGGAGGTGGCCAGGACAGCTCCTGGGAGGAAGAGACCCTCCAATCTTCACGGTTCAGTTCCTAGGACGGCCCCAGCCCTCTCTCCCCTTCCAACATCCACCAGGTGTCTCCCCTTGCTGCAGAGGTATGTGGCCAAGGGGCTCAGGCAAATTACTCTGCTTCCAGCTCAGCCTCAAAAGCCTGGCCCAGTTCCTGCCCTGAGCTGCAGGGCAGACTGAGGCAACAGTTTCCAGGCCTAGGTGGGTGAAGAGGGAAGGGCTGTGGTGTTGGCACCAGGGCAGCTGAGGCAAGATGACCCTTGGAGCCTCAAACATGTCAAAGGCAAAGTCTGGACATGTAGGATGGCATAATGGGTACCTGTGGCTGCCAGGAGGACCACAGCTGCTGCAGCTTGTAAGCCCATGGGGTGCTGCACTTTTCCCAATTTCATACCCCCTCAGAGCCAGGGCCTGTCTAAGCCTGCAGTTCCTGATGAAGAGTACAGGATTTCAGGCATCAAGAAAGCGGATGGAAGTCCAGGGTTAAGAAACCATTCCCTTCACTGATTAATTTATCAAACCAGTGCCCAGCGCCAGGAATCATTAGGTCCCAGCCAGACGTGAGGGGAGTCGTCTAGCAGAAGAGCTCAGGTGGCTAAGATATATGTGCACAAACGCTCCCAGGATGTGCACGGCCAGTTCAGAGACCTACAGGCAGGAGGGACAGAGAGGTTTAGGGCTGGTTGAGAGGGCTGAGGAATCAACAGGACCTGAATTCAAATTCCAGCTTTGCCCCTCACTTAGCTATGTGATTTCTCTAGGCTACAGTTTCTTCAACTGCAAAATGGTGATGCTAAATCCTACCTCAAAGGGTTGCTGTGGGCATGATATCTATAAAGCACCTGGCATTGCTTCGGCACATAATGGGTGCCTAGTAATGTCTAATTTGACTATGATGATGACAGTATCCTGTGCTTTGCATTCTGGAATCACACAGAGTGGCCAAAACTGGATGAAAGGGAAGTGGAGAAAAGAAAGAAGTCATCATATTCATTGTGGGGGTGCTGGACAAAACGACCTGTTACAAAGAAACAATGGAAAATAATTAACTAAATACTACATAAACCTGAAAATTACTGACCTCTCCCAGCCCTGCCTGATAATCTCGTCCAGAGCCCTCTACTGGCTCAGGGTTTGCTGTTGGCTCTAAAATGTTCTGAGAGCCAGTAACTCCTCTCTGTGACCCCAAATAATTCTGGATGACCGCTTGGTGTCTGATTTGACCCTCTGAGGGTCTTGAGTTGCTGTTGCCTTCTGAATTTTCAGTCAGAAACCACTTCCATGATTCCAAATGAACCCCTTGACCTCTATGTGACCCCAAATAATTCTGAATGACCTCCTGGTGAACCTATTCACCTTTTCATGACCAGCAAGTGTGGCCAGAAAGGCCTTCACTCTGCCTCTCAAGTTCCTGCCTTAGGGGCATCTGTGAGGAAGAGGTACAGCCCTGTTAAGTGACTTCCCTACCACCACCCTGTCCCCCAGGAGCTCTCAGCGGCTTCCAGCAGCTTCCTGAGTCACAGTCTTCTCCTCCAGTCTTCCAAATCCTTCTTCTCTCTGTCAGGTCGCTTCTGGCTTATCTCCCCAGCCCTCCCAGAGTCCCAGGTGATCATGGGGACTTCCTGTCCCCATCTGCACCAGACTGTGAGCCACATGTGGACAGGTTGCTGGTCAACCCTTTTCTCACCCCAGGATCCCCTGCACCCTGCACAGTGCTGCTGACCTTCATTGAATGAGCATGAAGGCCCGAGACTGTCACCAAGGGTCAGCCCAGGAATCCTTGAGCCCGAGGCCACTTCCCTGGACCACCGGGTGGCACAAACCACTTACTGCATCCCACCTGTAGTCTACCAGCCCCTAGGTCTGAACGGTCCTGGTAAACGGGCATATTAGGAACAAGTGGGGAAAACATGATAGTCCATTAGAATGCAGGAAAAAAATATTAGAACTTTGATTTAGGTTTATTTTCATCTCATCTTTTTAAATTTCTATTTTTGTGTATGTTTTATAATGTACATAATATTTTAGTACAGTAGTACATGTATATAATTTACAATAAATAATTATACAATTAAGAAAGTGAACTAAAAATTTTTTTACTGATGGGAGACACAAGGAGTGTTCAGGGAAGCACGTCTGTTTGCAGCAGGTGGAGTTTGCTCCTCTGCTTTCACTCACCCACCCTCAAGAGGTAGAGGGTGGGAAGCTGGCCCTAAACTTTCTCCACTTTGAGGCAGTGGAGAAAGTACAGAGAGCTCTTTTATGTTGCCACATTGCTCTTTCAATTTCATTTAAATGAACATTTACTTCCCCTCTGCAAAACAAAGAGGCCAGATGGTTTGGTTATAAAATACACTTCAGCTAACCCAACTTAAAGAATCTGGATTTAAATCACTACATTTTTCTGCAAGCTCACATATCCCTTGCATCAAATGCAAGTGTACTTGTAAATGTTGCATACTTAATTGCAAGGTTGACTTATTAACTAAATGTGTTACCACTGAGGTCAAATTGCTGGCCAAACTACAATAATCTATTTAAAAAATAGAAAGGATTTGCTCATCATAGCTGCATTGAGGGTGTCATCACCCCCACCACTTGCCAGTCTGAAGAATGCAGGGATTAAAAGATGCTAGTCTGTGATCATCACGTAACAAATTTCTCTATTCTCAAACATGTCCTTAGCTCGTGTTTCTGAGTCACAAGAAGAGTGGGGAAAAAAAAAAAACAACCTGCAGAACAATCAGCAACTTGTCATCCCACCTATTCCCAAGACCAAGAATGAATGGCTTCCATACCCTTCCCCCACCAAACATCTTTGGGCTTGTTGACAAGTGGCTATTTGCAAGGCAGAATGTCTTCTATTCCTATAGCAGATCTGTACAAGAGGCACCTCTGAAGCTCAGAGACCTGGCAGCACCAACATAAGGACCAAAATATAAATAGGACCATAGCCCCATCCACTTGCAGCCCAGGATGTCTGTGGGACAGAGGGGATGGCACACATACACGATTTACTCCAAAGCATCACTGTAAGAGCAGTATAGTCACAGGTCAGCCGGAAGAGTAGAAACAGGGTGAAAGGTCAACACTAGCTCCACCTTCCCTTCCAGAATGTCAGGGCCACCAGAAGCCCAGAGAGCAGCCCTTCTCGCTAACAGACGGAGTTCTGAAATAGCCTCTTCCTTCATCTTATTTCATCCTCTGATATCAGTTCCAAAACCATCTTTAAAGGGGTTCCTTATATATATATACATATATATAATTCTTATATATATACATTTATGTCCATATAAAAGAAAGCAGTAGTGGCCTCAATGGATGGAAGGTGAGGTGGATGCACATGTGAGTGCAGACAGCGTGGCACTGAGGGAGCAGGCCCTGGTCCTGGATTATTGCAATGGGAGGCAGGAGAACAGGGCATAGTTCCAGATGCTGCTAGTGGAGGGAGGAGAGGATGGTGCTGGTGGTCTGCAGACCTGCTGCTGGTCAACTCCGAGGAACAAGGAAGATAAAGGGTGGGAGGTCCAAGACCTTGGAGTCAAGACCTGCCCTCAAGCAAGGGAGATGAGGGGAACTTGCAAGAAAAGGCGGCCTGGGAAGCCTGCACCCTTCCTGCTTCTCCAGTGAGATGGTGTCTAGAGTATGCACAGCTGGCCTAGAAAATGAGGCTCCATGGTGGAGAGGGACGTGAGGGCTGGAGAGGGTCTGAGGCCCTGAGAAGCCCTAGGACACAAGACAGTCAATGCCATGAACAGTGTGTCTGCTAGGCCCATGGGGCTCTCCAAACCCCTCTGACTGCCCATCAACTGCCTGGAGCTGGTCCACGTGACCCCTGGCTGGGATTGTGCTCGCTGACCCCTCTGGGGACGTTTGCCTGCCTCTGGGGCCTGCCTATCCATGCCAGCTAAGTATCAGGCCCAGTGGTATCCTTTGTGGCTTTGCTGCCAGTCATAGTCCCGTGGCCCTGGCTGAGGGCAGGGCTTGAGTGTGTCTTTCGGAGAGAAGGGTCGTCCCCTTCCAGGGTGGCCAGCCGGGCCTCAATCTGCTCGAGGTCATCTGAGCCCACTTTGATTTTCATAGCCAGGAGGTGGATATAGGTCTCATAACGGCTTTTCTGGAAAAGGGGTAGAAAAAGGCCAAAAAGAAGTCAAAAGATAAACAACAATGCAACAAAAAATTTGTACCTATATGACAAAAGACTAATTTCCTTAATATTCATAGAGTTATTACAAATCAGTAAAGAGGAGATAAACAATCCAATAAAAAAAATTGCAAGGGAATGCACAGAAATTTCACTTATAATTTTAAAAATCCAAACTAATTGGCAGTGACTTCTTAGCATAGGCAACAAAAGTGAAAATAGATAGGATTACATCAAATTCAAAACTTCTGTGTATCAAAGCATGCAATCAATAGCGTGAAAAAGCAACTGACAGAATGGGAAAAAATATTTGTAAATAATACATCTGATAAGGGTCTAGTATCCAGAATATATAAAAACTCCTACATCTCAACAACAAAAACACAACCCAATTTAAGAATGGACCAAGGACATGAACAGACATTTCTCAAAAGAAGATAGACAAATGGCCATAAGCTCATGAAAAGATGTACAACATCTTTAATCATTAGGGAAATACAAATCAAAACCACAATGAGATTATCACCTCACACCCATTAGGATAAATGCTATAAAAAAAATAAAGGTTGGTCAGGATGTGGAGAAATCGGTACCCTTGTGCACTGCTGGTGGGAATGTGAAATGGCTCAGCCACTGTGGAAAACAGGATGGCTACTCCTCAAAATGTGAAAAATGACATTACCATATGATCCAGCAATCCCACTTCTGGGCATATGCATCCAAAAGAATTGAAAGCAGCGTGTCAACAACACATTTGCACACCCATGTTCAGAGCAGCATTATTCAGAACAGCCAAAGATGAAAGCAACCCAGATGTCCATCAGCAGAGGAAAGGTAAACAAAATGTGGTCTAGACACACAATGGAATATTATTCAGCCCTTAAAAAGGAAGGGAATTCTGACACATGCTACAACATGCATGAATCTTAAGGTTACTATGCCAGGAAATAAGGCTTATTATGTGAAATAAGCCAGTCATAAAAAGACAAGTTCTGTATAACTCCATTTATATGAAGTATTCATAGAGACAGAAAGTAGAATGGCAGCTGCTAGAGGTGGGAGAGGCAAATAAGGAGTTTTTGAACGGGTATAGTTTCAGTTTGGGAAGGTGAAAAAGTTCTGGAGATCGGTTGCACAACAGTGCACAAAAACCACTGCTGAACTATACACTTTAAAATGGTTAAGATGATACATTTTATGCTATGTGTATTTATCATAGTATTTTATGATAATTTAAATATCACAAAATTTACAAAATATCATAAAAATGCTTTAATCCAAATTAAAATAGCAACAAAACACCATATATTAAACCTATTAGACTGGTGAAGATTAAAACACTTGATAGTGTCCAGTGTTGGTAAAGGCGTGGAGAGAGAGGTACAGTCATAATCTACGAAAGGGCTTATAAAGTGGTAAACATTTAGGAGGGAGATCTGGCCGTGTTTGAGAGTCTGGACTCAGCTTCAGGCCCTCAGTACAGTCAGGAGAGGCTGGGGCCCTGGGAGAAGCAGGCAGGAACAGGAGACGCTGTGCTCACCCAGCTCTGCCACACGAGCAGAAAGACCCTGCATCGCTGGGCTTCACCGCCCCTCCCCACCAAGGAGGCCAGGCAGAAGTGAGGAAGACCAGGGCTCGGAAGCTGCCTCATTGCCCGGTGAGGATCCTGACTCCCGCGCTTAACTGGGGTGCCTCTGGCAAGTGATCTGACCTGTGCCAGCTTCCATTTCCCCATCTGTAAAATGGGAATAATAACAGAGCCCCTTTCACAGAGTTGATAGAAGGATTACATCAGTCAATACAAGGGAACTGAAGAGACTCGCACCTGACCGTCAGCGAGAAATCAGTCCACTGTAGCTTTCCCATTCCTAGGCTTACACTGCAGAGAGAGTGGATCTGAGAAGACTTCGGAAAACTATAAAGCTTTGTATTTTTCAAAACATCAGTACCTGTCCTGGGAAATCTCCTCAGTCCCCCACAAAAATCAGTGCAGAAACCTAAAGACTGAGAATGGTGACTTCCTACCCTTTCTGCTCCGGAGGCTTCCCTGGCTCAGTCTCAGTCTCTCTGTCATCTGCCTGTCCGCCCCCATGTGCAGGTTAGTCCAAAATGGACAAGCATTTCCTGCTCTCCTCCCCCAAGCCAACCCCCACCCTCCACCTGGTGCAGGCGCTGCCCTGTCAAGCCCCCCTTGCAGAGCATCACGAGGCTTAAGCAGGGGAGAGGGCAGGGAGGAATTCGGAGAGAAGGGGTGGGTGCCGAAGCAGAGGTTTTTAAGTCGCTCTGCATGATAAACATCTGTGGAAGAGGAAAATGAGACAAAAGGAGGAAAGTCTCACGGACAGGGCTTGAGAGTTCTGTGGTTTGGCTGTAAAAGCTTCTAGAAAAGCGGGGCCCGTGGGGGAAGCAGAGGCAAAGAAAGATGAGCCTTGGGGAAGGGTGGGGAGGGCAGCCGGGGGTCTCCAGTGGGACCCTCTGGTGCCCTCTGAGAGACACAAGTGAGGGCAACTGTTTGATTAACAACTGGCAGCTGGACTGTGCAGACACTGGCCCACAGGTGCCACGTGTGGTTCATGGTTGCCTCAGGGGAGCCCCCAAAGTGGGGAACCCCCAGATGAGGATCCTCTGGCTGTGGAATGACGGTGGTGGTGAGAGGTGGGGACTGGCCTCCTCCCCCTGCCCCAGCCTTGTCCTTTGCAATCTGTCCCTGGGCAAACCCACCTCAAAGGTGAGATAATGCTCCTTCAGCCGGTCCTCCTCCGCCTCCTTGGACTTGACGCCCCTCTCAGCTGGGTGGCACCGGTGCTCAGCCAGCTCTGCAGTCGCCTGCCTCAACTTACTCTCGTGAGAACGCAGCTGCTCCTCCTGCAAAACAAGTCCTGGACCGTGAGGTCCCACTCTCCGGGTGTCACATGGGAGTGTCTGATCCTGTCCAGCCAAGATCTGCTTCAACAGAGGGAAACTGAGGCTTGGTCAGGGTCATCACATGCGCGTGAGGGTAGAGCCGGGCTTGGGACCTCAGCGCACGTCCTTGCACCTTCTCTCCCCTTGCTCTCCTCGGCATCAGCTCCCGTTCATGCTCCCCAGCAGGCCCCGGAGATGAAGCCCTCACACTTGTATGGGCACTACACACTCCCTGACGTAGACACACCATCACCTAGAACACCCCTGGCTCATATGGACTCTCATATGCATACACAAATGCACTGGACCAAGGGACAGCTGGGCCTGGGCTATCCCTGGCTCTATGATGCCCACACTCTCACATCATGCCCAGACACACACGATGCCCCCAGACCCACACGCACATCCATGGGATATACGGCCACTGGCAGAGACGCGCACGCAGGCCACCCACCACAGCACAGCCAGGCCTCATGTGTGTATGTGTGTGGCCTCAGTCTTCCCATCTGTGAGCGGGGTGGGGTGCAGCAGGGGAAGGGGGACAGTATCCACCCGTTTGCCTCCTCTCCTAGCCTAGGACTAGGCATGGCACAGGAGCTGAGGCAGGGGCTGTGAATGGGGGGCCTGGTGTCGGGGCTGGTGCTCTGATCCCGGGAGCACGGACCTGACAGAGGCGAGTGGTGCAGGAGGGCAGCAAGGGCCGGCAGAACTTCTTCATGGAGCTGACAGCAGCCGGGAAGGCGGGGGCTGAGAAGGTGGCTGCCACCAGGTTGATCCTAAGGATCCAGGACAGCATTTCCTCCTTGCTCCTGGGGCCAGAGAGGAGGTGAGAGGGCGCCGGCTGCTCACAACAGGACTTCCTCTCCCACAGCCAGCACCCAGTACCCAGCACTAGCCTGGCACAGAGAGGGCACAGTGCCTTCATACGGTGAGCAGAGGACGAGGGGAGGATGGCGTGGCCGGGGCTAGACGGGCCCAGCCGCCTCTGAACAGGAAGACCCCCTTCTGCCCCAGTGCCTGGGCAAGACCTGGATCTGCTTGCGAAAATAAAGCTGTCCAGGTCCCGAGCCAGTAGCCCCAGAGCTAATGGGTGCTGAGTCAGCGGCCCAGGGAGACAAAGGGCAGCTGGGCCCCCCTCCCTGCCTGCCCACTGCCCCACCCAGCAGGCACACTCCCATCCTGAGAGCCCAGCTACTAGCCTCCTTTTAAGTCCATCTGACACACGAAACCCCCATCTTAAGTCACGGAAGGATGGGGCGCAGAGAGCGGATGGACAGTCTTTCCCACCCACCCCGTGACTCCACCTGCCCAGTACCTGGGGACTTGAGTGAGCACTGGAATCACCTGGAGGGCTTGTTAAAACACGACTGCTGGCCCATCCCCAGAGCTTCTGATTCAGTAGGTCTAAGGTGGGGCCAGAGAAGCTGCATTTCCAACAAGCTTCCAGGAGATGTTGAGGGGACCGCACTTGGGGACCACAGCTTCAGGAGACCCCAGCTGTTTGGTTTGTGCCAAGCAGATACACTCACTCTGTGGCTGGTGTGCAGGGAACCCTGAGGGTGCCCCGCCTGGGGCAGATGAGGACAGGGGGGCTGTGCAGGCCCTGGGCCCAGGGTGGGAGTCAAGGGCCTCCCACTCCTACTTACGGAGCCTGGAAGAGGAAGACCCTCCAGTCAGCTGTCTTCAGCTTGAGCACATTGGGCTTCTTGCTGTAGTCGGAGGCCCTGGTGGCCAGAGCATGGTGCACACGGATGGCGTTCTTCAAGTCACTCTCAGACAGAGCTTTGTCAGGCCTGTATTCGTCCTGGACAGGCAGGGCAGGGGGTGGGCAAGGCCCTGTCACCACCAAGGTCTGGTTTACTGACCCACACGCCCTTCACCCTCGCCATCCTGCTCTCCCCATCCCTGTTCCTGGACCCCCTCCATCCTGCAGCTCCCGCCACTCTTATGTCTGCCTACCCAACAAACCACTGCGGGCACTCCTCCCAGCCGCCCATCTGTCTGAGGGGCCCAAAGAGGTCTTCACACTGGGTATCCTCAGAGCCCCTGGGCATTTAAAAGGCCCCTCCCTGCAACTATCAAAGCCCTTGGTAGGCCCAAGTCAAGCCCCTGCTGGGTGGGGACCCAACATCTACCTAAGCCCCGGGTCCTGGCCGGGACCCTCTGGGTACCGCACAGCGGAGGCTGCACGGAGGACTGAGCTGGCCCCTCCTGGGAAAGGACTCTGGGGCAGCCTCTCACCTTCTGCAGGTACAGGATGGTCCCTTTGAGCACCGCGTAGAATTTCTTCCAGCCACGCCTCCCTCGGGGCGCTGGGGAGGGGGTCAGGGGTTGTGTGGCTGCAACCACCCAGACCAATATCTCTTCCCATGCCCCCCATACGTCTCTCTGGGTGTGCATTCCCAGAGGGGTGGCCGAAGGGGACAGACCCCCTCAGCGCCAGCAGCCCTCCCCACGGCCCTTTCCCCGCCTGACACCCACTCCTCTTGCCATCCGTGCCGGCGTGAGTCTTCCTGGTCAGCACGCCGTGCTTGTAGGTGGTGGCGCTGAGAGCCTGCGGGACGTCCAGGAAGGGGTTGCCGCCATCCAGGATCCGTGTCACCTTCTTTGTGCCTGTGCCAAACTTGTCATCCACCAGCTCAGACAGCGATTTCCTCAGCTCGTCCTCATCGCTAGGAAAGTACTGGGCCTGAGCGCCGCCTCCACGGGGGCCCTCAGCCCCACATTTACACGCCCTCTCCCCACCGACCACTCCTCTGGGAGGTGAACAACAGAGACAACGAGGTTCCAACGCCAGATCACAGAGACAGACCTTTGACCCCTCCCTGCAGTCTCCATGCTGACCCCTGTCTTCTGACCTCCAAGCTCCAGTCCCCACCCATGACCACAAAGTTGGAGATCTTAGTGTCCCCGGGCCTCCTTCCTTCTCCTCTCTCCAGCCCTGAATGCCCAGCCCTGTGAAGCAGTGATCCATCCATGGCCAGCCGGAAGCTGCCCACGCCCCACAGACACACTGGGGGAGGGCAGGCCAGGAGGTGAGGCCCCCAAAGTCTAAGCTCCCCACTGAAGCCCTGGAAGGAAAATGCCAGCTCTTCCCAGTAGGGTTGGGACTCCTAAAAATCCCTGCCTAGAACCTCTACATGAATCCAAAGACCCGGGCTGTCCTGGGGCGCACAGCAGGGTAGGGTGGCCACTCTTCCCAGGAGCGTCTCAGTCTCCCCAACCAACAAGGTCACCACACCTCTTTCCAGATGGCTGGGCACCTCCAGGTCTCACTGCCTTCACAGGGGAGAAAGTTAGGGGGCAGCACCTCTTCCCACTGCCAAGAGCAGTCGTCACCTAAATATGGTCATGTTCTTGGAGTGACATACAGGGTGACCCATGCCTCCTGCCTGCCGACATCCCAAAGGGGAAAGAGCTATCATCATTTGGGAATAGCGGCAATATCCCCAGTACTGAAAACCGATTGTGAACATCGTGAAACTACAGTCACAGTTCAGTCTATTCCACAGTAATGTAAACACTGCACACTTCCTACCAGTCAAAACAAACCCAAAGGGGAACTTGACAGGAGGTGCTGGCCAGTGGGACAGGAGTCACCAGGGCCCTGTGCTGGGAGAAATCAGCACCATGGAGAGTAACAAGAGTGTCTTCCACGTACTCCCAGCTACCTCTCTTTCCCATCTCAGAGATTCACTCTCCCCATATACCTGTGCCCACGGGCACTACTCACATGGCCCATTCCAGCTTCTCATTCTTGATGGAGTTATAAAGGGTCTGGGAGAGGGGAAATGAGAAAGAGAGGAGTTTAGATGAAGAGTCAACGAAATCTCCACCTACCTCTAGCTACGTGGATACAGTGAGGAAGCACCTTTCAGCCTGTGGGGCAAAGTGGTGCTTGATTCATACTTGTTTGTTGGATGGGTGAATGAATGGGGAATGGGTGAGTGGATGATTTGTTAGATGACTGAGTAGACAGATCTGACAATGAATGGGTAGCTGGGTTGGTGGGTGGGTGGGTGGGTGGGGAAATGGCTGGATGAGTGGATGTAGAGTATACATGGGGGAAGGTTTAGGAGTATAGGGGGTGTATGTGTGGGTGATGGGTGAATGGGTGGGTATATGGGCAGGTGAATGAGTTGCTGGGGAGGTGAATGCGTGGGAGGACAGGTGGATGGGTGGATGAGTAGATAAGGAGAGGTGGGCAGGTAGGCAATGGGATTGGAATTGTTTGGTCTTACTTACAAATCCATTCTTAACAAGTGCTTGTTGATGGTAAAGAGGGTAACTATGGTAAGAAGAGTGATGGAGACAATGCTCTATTTTTTGACCTCCATACTAATCATCTAACTGTCCACCTGGTATCACCAGGTCCTTCAAATCCACTATCTGAAACTGCAGTTATCATCTACTCCCCCAAAACCTGCTTCTCTTCCTCCAAGGCAGAGAACTGACCAGGCCTGAAAAGGCAGAGTTCTACCCTAGGCTTCAGTCTCAATACAAAACTGGATTCCCTTAATTCCTGGTGATATTGGAAGAATGAGTGGGTTTTTCCTCTTGGGGAGGACAGTAATGGTGTTGGTGATAAAAGTGCTAGTAATGGTGGCATCATCTGTGACAACTGGTGGCAATGTCGAGGATCACCACAACAGCAATGATGACAATGGAGCACTAAAAAAATTTCACAAAGCCTGCCCTGCACCTAAGTCAAGAAACACAGAACAGTCAGGTGTTGAGCTGGATGGGCTCTAATTCTGTCCCAAAGTCATGGTGGCCCAAGATGTAGTGGGACAGAGACCTCTCTCCCCTCCACCGAGCTTAGGGACACGGGGACCCTCAGCAGGCAATACCTTCAGCAGGTCTTTAGCAAAGTCTTGGCCATCATTCAGCTGGTCCAAGTTGGCAATGAATTGCTGGCAGGACATCTTCTTGCCAATGTTCTGTAGTGGAGAAACAGTTCTGCCTGAGAGCAGGGATGGAGGCTGGTGTGGCCCCCACAGCCTGCCCCGCCCAGCCAGAAGCGATGAGGCTGCATCAAGGGCAGTAATGAAAGAAAAAATTGCCTGGATTGCCCTTTGTCTTCAAGAGTTTGCAAAACTCTCTTTCACATTCAAGATTCTATTTGATCTTCAAGCACCATGAGAGGTTGGGGCTCTCTTCAAACCCAGAGGAAGGAATCAGGTTGGATGAAGTATTGTCACAGCTGACATTGTCAGATGCCTAACATGTTCCAGGTATTATACTTGACATGCATTATCTTACTTCCTTCTCATAACAAGGAGAAGTTTGAAGTGGGTGTTATTCTTACCCCCATTTGGCAGGGAAGGAAACTTGAGGTGCGGGAAGGTGAAGTGACGTGCCCACGATCACACAGCAAGGAAGTGGAAGGGCTGAGTGCTTCTGACACCACAGCCCGTACTTCAAACCCAGAGGAAGGAATCAGGTTGGATGAAGTATTGTCACAGCTGACATTGTCAGATGCCTAACATGTTCCAGGTATTATACTTGACATGCATTATCTTACTTCCTTCTCATAACAAGGAGAAGTTTGAAGTGGGTGTTATTCTTACCCCCATTTGGCAGGGAAGGAAACTTGAGGTGCGGGAAGGTGAAGTGACGTGCCCACGATCACACAGCAAGGAAGTGGAAGGGCTGAGTGCTTCTGACACCACAGCCCGTACTCTCACCTGCTCCTCCACGGTTATCTCTCCCAGAGTCACATAGCACCAGGACTTGAACCCAGGCCTCTTGGCTCCTGAGCAGAAGCCCTGTGTATCCCATCACAATTGTCTCACCCTCCCACCTGTACAGAGGAGCAGCAAACCTCCAAGAGGTGGGTGCAGTGAGGGAGGGTTTGGTCTTAAGAGAATCAAAATTCAGTTTCCACCAACACACATGGGTACCTCATGCTGAGCTGGGCTGAGACCAAGGGAACCCAAGCAAATGGTTTCACTCTAGGAGGCACAAACAGACAAATAGCTAGGGATGACTGTAGCCCCAAGTTCTGCCTTCTTTTTTTAACCACTAAGTAGCAAAGTGCTCCAGCCCTGCAAACCCAATGCCTGACATGCATACTTTCAGACTCTCTTTACAGAATCTGTTTGAGGAGTCACTGGGTGGCATTCCACCTTTATAAAGACAAAGACCCTTGAACCCAAGATACTCACTGGTGTGTGATTCTGTGGACTTAGGTTTGCTATAAGGCAGTGTTTCCAAAGATTTACCTACAGGTGGGAATAGGAATCCCCTCAAAAAAGATTTCATAATGAGTTTATTTACATGCTTTTGTGCATTGGAAGTCTCCAAGGACAGGACTCCATGTACAGTTTCCCAAATTTATTGACCTTGGCACCAATATAGCAAAAAGAACATACTAATATCACGTGGTACATTCACGGAACACAGAAAACAATTCAGAAAACAACAATATAAGGCTTTATAAGTTGCTGACAAGGAAGAATTTTTCTACATCTTTTCCAAAGGGTTAAGGAGAAAAGATTCTATGTGTGCTTTGATATAGTGTGTTTCCCATGGCTGTGTGTATATTCAACATGTGCATATACATATATATGTGTGTGTGTAGCCATGTATGTGTGCATTCATAACAGAAGAGTATGATGGCAATTTTGATATTGTCTGAGTTCCACACACACTGAACATTCACCAGCCATCAGGAGTGCAAAATCAAAAAATAACCAGGCAACCTCAACACCAAAAAAAACCAAATAACCCAATTAAAAAATGGACAGGGGACCTGAACAGACTTTTCTCCAAAGAAGAAATACAGATGGCCAACAGGCACATGAAAAGATGCTCCACATCGCTAATCATCAGGGAAATGAAAATCAAAACCACAATGAGATACCACCTCACACCTGTTAGAATGGCCACTATTCAAAATAACAAGTGTTGGCAAGGATGTGGAGAAATGGGAGCCCTCCTGCACTGTTGATGGGAATGTAAATTGGTACAACCACTGTGGAAAGCAGTATGGAGGTTCCTCAAAAAAACTAAAAATAGAAATACCATTCAACCTAATAACTTCACTTCTAGGAATTTACACAAAGAAAACAAAATTTGAAAAGATACACACACCCCTATATTTATCACTGCATTATTTATAATAGCCAAAATACAGAAGCAATCTAAGGGTCCATCAGTAGATGAATGGATGAAGAAGATGTGGTACATATCCGCAATGGAATATTATTCAGCCATAAAAAGAAAATAAATCCTACCATTTGCAACAACATGGATGGATCTAGAGGTTACTATGCTTGGTGGAAAAAGCCAGGTGGAGAAAGACAAATACCATATGATTTCGCTTATTTATGGAATATAAAAACAAAGCAAAACAGAATGAACAAAACAGCAGTATTCTCACAGACACTGAGAAGTGACTAGTGGTTACCATGGGGGAGGGGCTGAGATGGGTAAGGGTGGTGAGGGGGATAAAGAGGCACAAAAATTCTGAATCATAATATAAGTTGGTCATGGAGATAGTAGTACAGCATGGAGAACATAGTCAGTGATTCTGTAACACCTTTCTATGTTGACAGATAGTAACCACACTAGAGGGGGTAAGGATTTAATAATATGGGTTACTGTTGAACCTCTGTGTTGTATATTTGAAACCAATATAAGATTGCATAACAATGATAATTCAATTAAAAAATGATGAGACAAGATTCCAATCCTAGTAATGATGACTATCTTGTTGCAGATGAACTTTGGGAGCAAAAACACTCACTGGTAAAAATATTAATAAAACACCTGTGTGAAGGCACTGGAGAAATAGAAAAGCAGTGAGGACTTCAAGGATAAAGATCCTGCAAAGAAGGAAGAATGGAGAGATGAGCCCAACAAAGAGCAGCTTTCTTTCTTGAAGCACTTGCCAACTCACGAGCAGGGGCCAAAAGGCTGAGCCACTGAGTGGCCAATAGGACTGGAGAACAAAACCTGGAGTTCAGGACCTACAGGGGGGCCTGGGAAGCACCCCAGTCATACTTCAACAAAAAAAGTTGAAATAAGGAAGTATATACTAAAGGAAGTTCTTCAGACAGAAGGAAAATTATCCCAGAAGGAAACATGGAAAGGCAGAAAAGAGTGAAGGGCAACAGAAAAGGTGGCTAAGTCTAAATGAATATGGATTATGTAAAGCAATGATATCAAAGTTTTGTGGGGAAGAAATATGTAGAGAGATATAATAGTTAAAAGGATGGTAGCAGTAGTATATAAATTGAGAGGGCAATAAATGGAGTTAAAGTGTTAAGGATATTTCATTGGCCAGAATGTGGAAAAAGTACTTTTAATAAGTCAGGGAAGCATATTGCAAACTATAAAAAGAACTCTAAAAGAATGCACAACTAACAAGCTGTCAGGGAGAAATAGAATTCTAGGAAAAGCTTAAATAATCCAAAAGTCATCAAGAAAGGAGAAAAAAAGGAACACAGAACAGATGAGTCAAAGAGAAAACATATAGTAACCAACTATGTTTAAATCAAATATATTAGTAATTCATTAAATGGTCAGATTAAATGGCAAAGATTATCAGACTTGATTTTTTAAGTATATGATACATGAGATACCTCTTAAAAGAACAGAAATCTTAGAAGCAAAAGATGGAAAAAGATATACAACAAACACTAACAAAAGAATTCCAGTATTGCACACTAATATCTGACAAAATAGACTTGAAGGCAAGAAGCCTTCCTAGAGATAGAGACATTTCATAATGACAAAAGGGCCAATCTACCATAAGATATAAGCATCCTAAATTGATATGCACCTAATAACATAGTCTCGAAAAATATAAGGCAAAAATTGACAGAACCAGAAGAAGAAAGACATATTCACAATCTTGGAGATGTTAACACTGTTCTCTCTGTAACAGGAAGAACAAGAGCACTAAATAATTAACTCATTAACAATTAATAAATGTCAACAAATTAGGTAACCTAGATGAAATGGACAAATTCCTGGGAATACACAAACTATTGAAACTGGCTCAAGCAGAAATAGAAAATCTAAATAGTCCTGTAAGTAAATAGATTGCATCAGTAATCAAAAACCTCACAAAAGAAAAGTCCAAGACCAAATGGCTTTATTAGTGAACTTTACCCAACATTTAAAGGAAAATTAACTCCAATACTTCTCAAACTCTTCTCCAAAAGTTGAAGATGGAACACTTCCTAACTCAGTCTATGAGTCAGCATTACCTTGATACCAAAACCACACAAAGACATCACAAGAAAATTATAGAGCAATATCCCTTATGAATATAAATACAAAATCCCCCAACAAAACACTAGTAAGCAGAATCCAGCAACATATTAAAAGGATTATATATTGTGGCCAACTGGAATGTATCCCAGGAATGCAAGGGTGGCTCCATATACAAGTCTATCAACGTAATACACCACATTAATAGAATGAAGGAAAAACAACACATGATCATCTCAATTGATGCAGAAAAAGCATTTGACAAAATTCAAGAATCCTTTCATGAAAAAAGAAAACAAACACTCAACAAACTAGAAATAGCAGAAACCTTCCTCAAAATGATAAACATCTATGAAAAACTCACAACTAACATCATATTCAATGGTGAAAGACTGAAAACTTTCCCCCTAAGAATGGGAAAAGGCAAAGATCCCCTTTTTCCCCATTCCTATTCAATATTGTACTGGAAATTCTAGCCAGAGTAATTAGGCAAGAAAAGAAATAAAAGGCATTTAAATTAGAAAGGAAGAAGTAAAACTACCTCTATTCACAGATGGCATGATCTTATATATAGAAAATCCTAAGTCCACACGTACACACAAAAAACCTTTTAGAGCTAATAGGTTCAGCAAAGTTTCAGGATACAAGATCAACACACAAAAGTCAATTATATTTCTATGTATTAGTAATGAACAATCAAAAAAAGAAACCAAGAAAAC